GATTCTTGCATTTGGGAGGGCCCCTGGCAGGTAGTAGGTTTGTTTGGCATTAAAGTCCTTCTGGCCCCAGTCTTATGTCCAGGTTCTGATCATTCTGCCCCACTGGAAGGCCTGGTGCAGCTGCCACATATGGGACTCTGGGAACTCCCCCCCTAGGTCAATATTGAAGATCAAAAGTCGATGTGTCCAGTATCACCAGGCCTTTAACTTAAGAGTCAGGAGCCCTGAGGGCATCTCTTAGGCCCAGGAAGGGGGCAAAGAGAGAGGACACCAGGTTCTGGCTCCCATGTACGGAGAGGGAGGGAGGGGTCACTCTCTAGGCTCCAAAAGCTGGGTGGCCTCGCCCTGGGTACTTGCCCTGGAGCATGGGGATGGGGAGATACTTTCCCTTTAAGGGAGAAGTGAGTCAGCAGTCAAGGCCCCTTCCAGTTGATCTCCTTGTGGCCTCCTCAGACTCCAGGCTCCTCCTACCTCCTGCCTCTGTGCTCCAGAACAAGAAGTCCAAGGCCTGGGCCACTCCTCTTGGTGCAGGGGTTCCTGGTGCCAGGACAGTGTCCAGGCGCTGAGGGCTGTGAGCTGTGATGGCCTCAGACTGGGCTGTGAGGTCCCAGCACAGGGAGGGCTGCCCCCAGCAGGAGACACAGGCCTTGTGCTCCCCACCTCTGGGCTCCTTGCTTCTCCCTGTCACCCCAGCAAAGGGCACTTTGCTCTGGAAGAGGAGGCCCCTAGATGACCCCCTCTATCTTCTTTTCCCTTTCTTTCCTGTGTGTTTGAATTATACCTTATGTCTCTGCCTGGAGAAGGCCTTACACTTAAGTACAGTTTCCCAGCTGATCACAGAGTAACATCTGTGTGGTGACAGCCCAACTGAAAACAGACTATCCCAACCCCAGCCAGAGCCCCTGGGCCTCTCCCACACAGACCATCCCCGCTGCCCAGTGTCCACTAAGCTGACCCTTCTCTGCCCCCACCATCTGGCTCCTCCCCCTCTACTCCTATTGGCCTCCCTCCCCTAAAGCCCCTATTTCCTCCCTCTGCTCCAGGAGCCTCCCCTCTTTCTAGCCCATGACCCTGAGGGTCTCTCCTCCTGCCCCTCTTCCAGCCCATCCTGGGGATGGAGGGATTAGTGTTGATTCCCTGGAGAAGGAGCCTCCATCCCTGGAGTCAGCAGCTGGAACAAGTGACAGGGACACTGGGTCAAGGTGTCATCCCAGGAGACTGAGGGCACCTGGCATGCTGTGGGGCCCACCCTGGTCATTATCCAGCTGTTATGGCCTGGGGATCTGCTCCTGCCTGAACCAAAGTCTGTGGTGATTAGTGGACAGGGGCCATCATGTCAGCGTGTATTAGGAAACAGGTCAGACTGAGAACCTGAAGCTGTATGGGGCTCCCCCTCCTGTGCACAGCCCTGTCCTTCTGGGAGACCCTGAGAACCTAGGAGATCACAGGGTTCTCCCCCTCTGTCCTCAGCCCTGTGGCCACACGGGGGCGCTGCGGCGCTGTCCTAGTCTGGCAGCCAGGGGAGAGGCTGGGTGTGTGTGACTCAGGCTGAGAGGGTGAGCTGGGGCTGAGCATCACTGGGGGAGGGGGTGAAGGTGCCCTGTGAGCAGCCCTGGCACCAGGCTGGGGTGGGGGGAGTGGGGGAGAGGAGAGGAGGCTCTGGAGCTGCCCTGTGTCTGAGGCGCCATCTTCTCTCCCCACAGCCTCTCTCTGCAGCCCCTTGATGACCACACCCTGGAGACCGCAAAGCAGATGCTTTTCCCTTCCACTCCCTGTGCCTTTCCTGAGGCCTGTTTTAATGTTTTTATTTTAAATAATTTAATTTATATAAAAATTGGTACAAGATTCCTGTGTATCCCACACGCCTTTTCTCTGTTAATGTGGATCTCTCTGTCTTGTCTGTACAGCCAATGGAGCAATAGTCACATGTTATGAATAATCCCCATACCTGACTTGGGTGTCATTAGTGTTTCTTTTGGCTTCTCCAGGCTCCCATCCTGATACCACATTACGTCCCAGTCACGTCTCTGAGGCTCCTCTGGCTGAGTCAGTCTCTCAGACTCTCCCTAGTTTTGATGGTCTTGACAAGTTGAGTTTGGCTGCCTGGGGTGATGCGGTTGGGAAAAAAACTGAAACATGAAGGGTCATTCTCAGCACAGAGCCCTGGAGAGTCACCTGCACGTGATCCTCACTGGTGATGTCACCTTCCCTCCCTGACTAAGGTTGGGTTTCCCCTGCCACTGGAGGAGGGCCCCACATGGCGCGCAGACCTCTCCTGCCGCCCGCTGCTCCCCTCAGCAGTGTACCTCGGTCCTTCTGCCTGCTCTGCACCCCGCTCTGGCTCTGGTGAATTCTCTCACCCTCCCGCGCTTCTGACTGTACCCAGTGCATGTATAAACAAAAAACAAACAAATAAATAAATAAATGAAAACATGCCTCTATATAAAAAAAAATATTTTAATTTTGTTAGTGAATGTCATTCTTCTTGTGGTAGTCACTGAAAATATGCCAGGTAAATTTATGTTTCACCCAACAAAAATTTTGAAAGCAGATTAACATTCAAAAATCAACAAATGCTTCCTTCTCAGAGTATTGCCATTATTGACTACATTGGGAACAATAATAGAGCAAATTAAATTTGATTTCATTTCCAAGATTAGAAAGGCACTAGAATTAAACTACTTGAAGGAGTCACTGATTATTGAATCTTATGCATTCTGATAAGGTATTTTTCTCAAGCCAGGAAAATATGCATACAAATTTGACACTGAGACTTCAAGAAAACACAGATGACCTGGGTAGTTCTATCAGCACCTCAGTAAGTGAGCTGGAAACACCAAGTTTATAGCTCACAGGGACCCCTTAGGTTGAAGGACTAAATCTCTCCAAGGGCAACGTCAAAGAATATACTAAACATGAGGAGGGTTGGTTGCCGATGAGAGAAAATCTCCCACAAGTCATATTCTTTTTGTAGTGTATGGGCCTCTTTAACAGAAACTTGATCTGAAATAAAGTAAGTTGGGAGCTGGGTGTTGCCATGATTGAGGTTTCACAGGTTTCACAGGTTTCACAGGTTTCAAAGGCAGGAATGCACTGGAGTTCTGGAAGGAAGTGAAACCTGCAACTAAGCTGACAGATTCCAGGAAGTGCTCTTGGTCCAAATCTGCTTCCCCTTTTTGCATTTCCTCCTGTCTTCTTTCTCCCTGAAGTTTGCCTCTCTCTTGTCTTCACATCACAAAGTGGCCTATAGTGGAAGGCCACATGAAGTGGCAAACTTTATTCTTGTACATAATGTTGAAATTCCTGGATGAGACCATAGTTGGTCAGTTAGTTCATGTTGCCTGAACTTCAACAGTCAGCAGTATTTATGCATACAAGAACTGGGGTACAGGCCAGGGGTGCAGGGTTGGGGGGTGAGAGGATTCACCAGAGACAGAGTGGGGAACAGAACAGGCAGATCAACGGAAATACACTGCTGAGGGGAGCAGTGGGCGAGTCAGGAAAGGGATGCTGTGCTACGTGGGTTGCTCCCTGGCCTGGGATCAAACTCGTGCTTCAGTGGCTGAGGATAGCCTCATAGGTTGCGTCTTAACCCCTTGTGCCACCAGGGAGGCCCCTGAAATATTCAGTTTTGAAACCTACCCTAAATTTCCCAGTGGTCAGTGTTATAACTAAGTATACAAAGTACAAAAAATATGTCTAATATAACAAAAAAAACTAAAAATAAATTTGTTCTACCCTTGCTTCCTTGCTTGCTCAACAGTCAAATTACATTTTTGATAAAGGATTGTGAAATGTGAAATTTCCATAGAAGAGTCATGAGTTTGTTCAATACTCTAGAAATAGATGTTTACTAGATATGCAATTTCGCCATAGCTTGCCGTTAAAATTTATTTCTTTGGGAAATGAAATATCAAATGTCATGAGAATAAGTTGAAGTGAAAGCTAATATGGTCACATTACATTCAAACAAAAATAATAAAATTGCAGGGAATCATAAAAAAGAGAAGCACGTGTAAAATAGTATTAGGTGAAAAAGGCATTATACAAATTTTATGATATCATTTGTAGAAGCTTAAAAACATCATCTCAATTTCAGTGATTCCTGAGTTGTATGATAATGGACAATGCACTTTTTCTTTAATACTGGAACTGTTATTAATGACTACTGCTATTTAATAATTTAAAAAGTTTTTTTTTTAATAAAGAGCAGGTGCTATCCCTGTAGTAGGAATAGTGCTGGAATAGTGGAAATGCTGTCTTGATTGCTGACACGAATCAGTAGTGATACATTACTAATGTGTCACTAGAAAAGGGTAAGAGCAGAGTGTGGTGCTGGATGAGAGCAATGCTGAAGAATATTCAGGCTCCTTTTAAATAAACTTTCCAGTTGAATATCTGATTGTTCCCATACCTTTCATTGAAAAGGTTTTCCTTGACCCAATGCATTACTTTGCTGTGTTTGTTAAAAATTAAGTGATTGCCCAAGTGTATCTATTTCTGGACACTCTAATCTGTTCTGTTGATGCCTGTCAGGACTTAGGCCAGGATCACACTGTCCTGATTAATGCAGCTTTAGTAAATGTTGAATTCAGGTACTGTAAATTTTGCAATTTGTTCTTTCTTAAAAGGAAAAGGTATATATGTCCATTTATTTGTGTATTCTGCAACCAACCTAAGAGAGGAAATGTTTGGAGGCTTTACAAGTAGCTGAGTGACTGAAACTGTTCCCGGTTTTGCTGCTGTCACAGCCTGGCAGGGAAGGCGAGACCTGGAGCCGGGCGCCTCTCTAAGCTTTCAGTGTAGCCATTTGCCAGGCCTTTCGGCCGCTGCAGCAGCTGTTTTGAGTGTCGTTTGTCTGGTGCTGTGCTGGGGCATCTCAGCAGCTCCGTTGAGCATCTCCTGTTGTGTCTTCTGCTCTCTTCGTGAGTTGGATCCCGGCCTATGGTCTGGCGGCCACATGCTCCAGGTCCCCAGTGGCAGGAAGACGCTACTTGGGAACATTTGTGTTTAGAACTTTAAAAGACTGGACACTGCTTCAGGTGAGGTAAATGGCCATTTGTGGTCTCAGTAACTCTTTGTTTTTCCCTGGTTTTTAAATAAACCCCATTATTGTTGTCCTCTGAGGCTGAGTGGTTTTGTAATTGTGTGCACGGGGGAAGAACTCAGACTGGTAAACAATTTGAGCAGTGACCTTGGTCAGCTTTCATGCCTCTTTTGCCCTGTATCATTTTTATTTTGCTCTTTTCCTTCCAGACTTGCCTGGCCGCTTCTGCCCTTCTCCTATGAGTCTCCACCAGAAAGTGCCTTATTCTTGTTGTAAGCCCTCAGGCCTCAGCGGTCCTGCTCTGGGCCAACTCTATTTGGCTGGATATTTACATGCAATGGAATGGTAACTCTGGGTGTTTCATTTAGTAACTAACTATAGTCTTTCTGTTCTCTTTATTGCTCACTAAGTGTGTTGAAGTCCTCTTCTATTGGAGATCTTATGCACTAGAGTAAATAAATAAATAAATAGATTAATTAATTAAATCCCAGTTCCAGGCCATCACCTTCCCTTCCAGGCTCTAACAGCAGAAAAGCTGGGAACAGGTGAAGAAGCTGTGATTGCTTCTCAGCCTTGGACTTGTGCCAGAGACTTGGGGGACATGGAAGGAGACACTGGGAACAGATGTGGGTGAGACACCTATGGGGAGATTACAGTGGCAACATTTATCTTGATTTTGATTTTGCTCTTTTCCTTCCAGACTTGTCTGGCTCTTTCTGCCCCTTTCCTATGGGTCCCCACCAGAAGGTGCCTTAGACTTTTGACAGATTTGGGGGCCTCAGTGTCCCTGTTTGGATCAAATTGTTTGGCTGAGGTGACCCACAAGGGGATGGGTAAATTGGGGTGCTTGATTGGGAAACATATTCTCTATTCTGTCCCTTCATTCTCTTTCTTACACAGTGATTGTATTAAAGTCCTTCCCATTAAATGTCTTATGCACTAGAGTATGTTTTGTTTTCATGAGGCAGATGGCAGAACCCATTTAGCGTGGGCAGGTTTGGGAGTCTTGGGTTCTCTCACCCTGCCTGGTAACAGAACCTCCTTTACTGTGGATATCACACTGTTACAGTCCTGCCCCTAGGCAAAAAAAAAAAAAAAAAAAAGAAGATTTCTCAAAATACCGAAAATACACCTTCCATATGGTCAAGTATTCCATTCCTTGGTATATATCCAAAGGAGGTAAAAACACTAATTCCAAAGGATATGCGCCTCCTGTGCTTGTTGCAGCCTGAGCACAATAACCAACTATGGAAACACCTCAGTGCCCAATGACAGATGAGTGGGTTAAGAAGAGGTGGTAGACAGACACAATGGAATACTACTCAGCTGTGAAAAAGTTGAATTTGCAGCAACATTGACAGATGTGGAGGGGATTATGCTAAGTGAAATAAGTAAGAATGAGAAAGTCAAATACTGAGTGATGTCACTCATTAGTGGAATATAAAGAAACCAAGCAGGGACAGACAAGACTAAACCAAAACATACTCTAGAAATATAAGGCTATGTGAGGGCCTCCCCAGTGGTGCAGCAGTTGAGAACCCAATTAACTGGGTTGCGAAGCTGCCCGCAGCCTCTGCAGCGCTGGTTCGATCCCCGGCTGCTCCCCGGCCACCGGAGGAGGGTCCCACATGGCGCGGCAGACCTCTCTGCCGCCTGCTGCTCCCCTCAGCAGTGTATTTCGGTCCTTCTGCCTGCTCTGCTCCCCGCTCTGGCTCTGGTGAATTCTCTTACCCTCCCGCACTTCTGACTGTACCCAGTGCTTGTATAAATAAATAAAGATAAATCTTTAAAAAAAAATTCTCTTAAAAAAAAAAAAAAGAAATATGAGGCTATGTGGGAGGGGAGGGAGGGAGTGTGATGTAGGAAACAAAGTGCGAAGAGGGCCGGGTGATGGTGGTGAGGACTGTGGACCCTTAGGTGGGTGTGAAGTGGTAACAAACACCTGAAGAGGTGTGACCTGTGCCTCTGCACACATACAGTGTGTAAACCCATGTTTACCTCAGTAGAAATAATACAATCATGGTTGAGGGGAGAAACTATCTTGAGCAAAGAAAAAATTGTCTTTTCCATCCATCACTGACCTCAGGACTTTGCCTTCACCTCCTCACTGTCATGCAGGGTGAGGGGCTGGTTTCCCACAAGGGCAGAGGCAGGAGGTGCAGGGACTCCTGGGGCTGCTCAAGAGACCACTGGAGTAGAGACACTGCAGAGAAGGTGGGCTCTGAGGGGACAGAGACAGAGAGTCAGAGTACCCCCAGTGCTGAGTGAGGGTCTGGTCCCCAAGAAGAGGGAGTGTGTGTGTGTGTGTGTGTGTGTGTGTGTGGTGTGTTGTGTGTTGTACAGGAGAGACAGGGCACACAGCATAAGAAAATAGGGAG